TGGCTAAGACATTGGAACATTAAATATTTGCTATTGATTCCACTTGAGTATAGTTCATCTGCTCCGGTGTTTTAGCCACACTAGTGTCTTAGCCACGTCAGTGTCTTAGCCACGCCATCAGGATATACATTTGTACAATAAGCAGAATCAATAGCAAATATTTAATGTTCCAATGTCTTAGCCACACTGGTGTCTTAGCCACGTCAGTGTCTTAGCCACACCATCAGGATATACATTTGTACAATTACATTCCAATGCTTTAATACCTGATAATTGGCTACAATATTACAGCTAAGACTTTGAGGTAGAAAAGTGGTAATATAGGGCAATTCCAGCCTTACATTTGCAAGGTCTTATGCTTTAGTGGTATAGCACGCTGCTGTTACTTTCGGGCCGCGGGTTCGATTCCCGCCTGTGCCATTTTTTGGGCTTTTCGGAAATTCTTCAGCGTGTCTTAGCCGCTCTTGGGCACTTCTGGTGGCTAGTCCGGTGTAACTTAATAAGTTCCCGTGTCTGGGCCGCCGAACTGAAACTCTTGCGCCTTTTTTAAGGGACGTCGGCTTTGATGAACCTTGGTGGACTTCTGTAAGCTGTATTCTCTTCGCAGCACTGAAATAACTACTAACCAGGGACTTGTTGCAGTTGGTTTGTCCAGCCAAGGAGACGCTGCAGGATGGGGTGTCTCTCCAGATAGCTGCGCACACCTAGACCAGCCCTAGACCAGTCTCCACCCTCGTTATCTGGCCAGTAACCTCCTGTTAGACGGTGTTTCAGCGACTCCTGCTGAGCCAGCTGTTTAGCAATGTCACGGCTTGGGGCCTGATGATTGGAGTAGACTGAACAATTCTGGAAGACGCCGTTGAAGCTCTCATAGCCTTCGGTGGCTTGTCCCGGTAGTGGTCTGAAGCGAAGGACATCGTACCGTGTATGCGTCAGAAGGTGTAGCTTAATCTTCTCGAGTATTTTGCTGGGGTCTAGGTCACAGAATGTGTCGAGTACATTTGCAAGAGCAATCTCTATGTCGTCCTAAAATAAACCAGTTAGCTTTTGTTCCCACTATTGCACCGTGAACGTACCAAATATTCATCTATGTTTCGTATCTCAGGGAACCAAGCAAGAGATGAGAACTCTCCTGCGGCAAGCCAGAGCTGAAATACCAGCGGTGGTACAAGGTCATGGGCATGAAAGGAGATTGTTTGTGTAACAATCTTCAGCTGGCGACCCACGAGCGAACCTGCATACTGCATGATATACTGAGCACGTATTGCAGGTATTGATAGGCCCTTCACGTCAGTTGCCTGAAGCCGATGCGCGTAAAGGCTCTTCTGCTCTGTGTTCCACTGCGTATGCGTCATGTGCCAGATATATTTGGTGATTCCCAAAAGAACAGTGTGGAGGATTTCGATAGGCGTGTCCTGTGTGGGATCAAATCCATCAACCGTGAAGAATGGGCTAATGATTTTTTCCTTGTGTTCTTCAACCCACTGCTGGAGTTCATCATGTATTGAGTCTTTGGTGCGTGAGCTATCGTCTCTCTTCATTTGTCGTGCACGCTTAATCAAGCGATCGATCCATTGCTGTGTGTACGTGTTTTTAACTCCTGTTGCTGTCTGGAGGTCCTTGACAGTTTTGGCAACCCCGGTACATGCAGCAGCAATTTGCTTGTCAAGTTCTTGCAGTATTCCTTCCTTGGTTCGTGGTGTCCCAACCTGGAAGAGGCTGTCATAGCCTTTGTCTGTCTCCTTGTACACCTTCGTGCCACCTGCGTCACATTTTCGGCTAGTGATGTGCGGGCCCGGCTTGGGCTCAAAGCCCGGGCTTGGGCTTGTGACGACGTCGAGCCGAGCCCTGAGCCCGAGCCGAGCCCGAGCCCGGCCCAAGCCTTGGGCTTAAGCCCGGGCTTGCTCACAATACAACGAGTGTTCCGGTGCTATCAAAAGGGAATGTATTTGGGTGTAGTAGATTAATACTGCATGTACTCACTAAATTATAACCTTCAGAAGATCTACACCTGCGGAACAAGTCGAGTTGCAGCGAAGTCTACGGGCGTGCGCCTACGGCAGGCACCAGATGGTGACGCACAATCGTGCTCGGCGAGAGCCGTTATATCTAGAATATCTACATTTTGTCTTCTATGTGCATATTAGATCGCTCTCTCCTTATTCTGAACTCAGGGAACAGTGACGGGGCCAGCACACCCAAGCCTGGGCTTCCGGGCCGGGCTTGGGCTTGACTACGCTCCGAGCCCGGCCTTGAGCCCGCTGCCAGGCTTGACTCAGGCCAGGCTTTTTGGGCCGGGCTTGGCGGGCTTGCAGGCTTTGAGGCCCGGCCCGCACATCACTATTTCGGCAGTAGCAGTTGCTGCGACCGCCAAT